GTATCGCCTTTGGAATGAAGAATTAACTTTTATGGCTCGAAAATGATTTAAAATTTGATCAGCGGATCAGCGGAAGTAACGCTTCAGTTTTAATAAATATACATATTTGTAAAAATAGTTTCAGAGGATTCTTTTGAAAATACAAGAAAAATTTATTGATTCAAGAGAGATTTAAGAAATATATATAGGGGATTATGAAATTTATGACAAGCTTTTGTAATTTGAAAATAGTTAAGAAGCGTTTATAAGAGTAGATATCTGCATTTTAATTAAAACGTATTAGAAAATACTATACAATTAAAATAAATGTAATGTTAATATGAAAATAAAATATATGTAAAATGTTTGCAAATTTATGAAATTATTTGGATTTCATATATAAAATTTAAGAAAATGTTTTTTGAAGTATTTTCAAGTATTCAGAACCACTCTATAAATATCTTCAGTACTAACAACATACTAGTAGACTCAGCAACTTAAAGAATTTGTCGACTTGTTTAAAAAGTTGTATAAGCTCGGTTTAAACTACATTAAACAAGATAGAACGCTACAGTCGAGCAAGCCCGACAGTAAAATAGCCTGTACTCTCCACAAAAAGGAAAAAATTAAAAAAAAAAAAAATTTTTTTAAAATTAAATTATTAAAAAAATGAATGAATTAATTAATTAAAATAATTAATTAAATTAAATTAGAATACATGTTTATGTTCAGTTTAAACAGCATACATTTACATCACGTACCTATGCGTGTTTATATGCGTGTATGTATGCAGCACAAAGTTAAACCAAAGCAGCAACAACAACAACAGCTGCGGGCAGCGCTGCCGACAGAGGCAGCGCATGAGCAGCGATTTTACTTATGGCTATAACTTTCTTCAGAATTGACCTATCATGATGAAATTTGGCACACGGACACATTAGTACTAACTGGATGTACCTACCAAAATTGATTTCAAAATTCCGAGAATTACGGAAGTTATAAGAAAAAATACGAATTGCGGGGGAGTGGGGGGGTGTATCAGAAAAAATAAACAAACTCGTTCTGCCTAGGGCTTATAGGAACCTTGATACCAATTTTGGTTATCCTAGCTCTTGTACTTACTGAGATCCTTGCGCTCATACAGACAGACGGACAGACGGACAGACGGTCAGACGGACAGACGGACAGACGGACAGACGGACAGACGGACATGGCTATATCGACTCGTCTTCTCATCCTGATCAAGAATATATATACTTTGTGGGGTCTGCCACGCCTCCTTCTGTGTGTTACATACATGCGCACAAAACTAGTATAGCCTTTCACCCTTTGGGTACAGGCTATAAAAATGTAAGGCAAAGAATTTAACCTACGAAATATAATGAAAAAAAAAGGATACTTTCCATATACTTATAACACAATCAATCATTGAATTCAGAGCAATCCTAAATTTTTAAGCACGCCCTCAATCACCAACTAGTCATTAATTTCGTGCCGTGCACTGAAGACTAATGCGTTGGTTTTTTTTCTTGCAAACTTTTTGGCGCCCTACCTATTCGTTAAAGTAGCTTAAAGTTTCATGGTCTTGGACATGATGTCATGGCTGATATTGGTCTGGTACATAAGCCATCTTATGAGCACATTAATGCCAGCACCAACACCTACAAGACATGTCTGTGCAGACGGCGGACCGATGTCTCGACTGGTCGTGGCTTGTGTTGTTACAAAGAACAGAAATCCCATTAAATTGAGCGTCAGCTGCTGCTGTGCCCGCCCCTCAGCTCGCCACCATCTTGTTTCATGGCACGCCCTAAGATAAATCGCTCTTAAAAAAAGTGACAAATGCATCAAAATTAAAATTACGAGGTGGCATCGCATGGCCCGAACGACGGGCAGGTTGAGAATAAAGTATAAAGATGAGAATGACATACTCAAGCTGCTTTGTGTTTTGTGCTTCGTGCTTCGAGCTGGTGATGATGATAATGACGATGACGATGAAATTGTTGATAACCTGCCACACGATGGTGATAACGAGGCAGCGAAGAACAAATGATGCTGCCACTGTTCCCGCGGTCCCTCGCTTCCTGCGTGTGGTGCTGATAATGATTTTGATGAAGTTTATTGCTCGAGTTGTTAACGTTCTTTGGTGCAGTATTTGTTATTGTTGCCGTTGGTTGTTTGTGCGTCAAATGCGTTAATAAAATTTGTTAACTGCCATTTTTTACACAATTTCCGGCTGTCGCAGTTCGTTTCCTCATGGCCGTGGCCATTGTGGAACTTTGTCCGCTCGCTGACCCGCGGATAACCTGTGGGCCAGGCAAAGCATTTTCTTCCACCAATTTTGCGTCGCCGCTTCAGGCATCGCCGCCTATTAATTTATCTAAATGATTATGTATTTTCCGGACATTGAAAGTGAAAGCGCGTGGCGAAAGTATTTGCCTTTCATTCGCTTTATTGTTTCCTATAATTTCCATTGCCTACCTTCAGGCGTTGCCCGTTCTGCTCGTATACGCAGCAGAAAACCGTCCGCATCATGCTGACTCGTCCTTCGTGAAATTTGCATGCCAACGTTTGAAGACAACAGCAGATCTCCTAGCAAAGATAACCCATCATTTCGACAGATTCACTCGAGCTTCAGGCATTAAAACTATGCAGAAAAAAAGCAACAGCAACAGAAATTCAAAAACATCTCCTTTGTGTTGGAATTTCAAAAACTGTAGGCAAATAATGCTAAATAACTGTGACGCAAGGGAAAGATTTCAATGTGAAAATAAATCAATACACATAAACCATTCGCTAAACGAGAAATCATTCATAAACTCATTATACTTTATACTCCATGCATATTTATAAAATTACGAGCTATTTGTTATTTTTGTGCATCATTAAATATACTCCAAGAGGAAAATGAAAAATTTTATAATGCAGTAAATATTTATTTATTTATATTTCTACCTTCCTGGTGCACGAAACATTTTCAATAAGTTTTTAACAAAATTCAATTGAATTTGGATTTACATGTTTGTGGGCCTGAATTAATTTTAAGTTACTTTTCGGGCCATGAGTGCTTCAGAGTAACAAAACTTTGCACTTTGGGCCAACAATACAATTCCGTTTTGCGACTCGATGAAGAAAGGAAATAAATTAAAATCGAATTAAGCTTAAATGTGGCTAAATAAATTATTGTTTGAATATAGCAATGCCGCCGTCCACATGCCCATACACATTTTTGATTGGCAGATTGATTTAGAAAGCCACACCAAACACATCAATTGTTGCAATCGGTTTGAAAATATATACTCCATGCTAAATATTAACAAAATAGTTAATTCATTTTGATGATTTGCCTTACTAAAGTATTGATTTTACTTACACTAGAATATCAACATTATTTAAATTAACAAAAATTTGTGAGAAATAATAAATAAGAATGTGAAATTTTCAATTTTTTTTTAGCTTAAATGTGGCTAAATAAATTATTGTTTGAATATAGCAATGCCGCCGTCCACATGCCCATACACATTTTTGATTGGCAGATTGATTTAGAAAGCCACACCAAACACATCAATTGTTGCAATCGGTTTGAAAATATATACTCCATGCTAAATATTAACAAAATAGTTAATTCATTTTGATGATTTGCCTTACTAAAGTATTGATTTTACTTACACTAGAATATCAACATTATTTAAATTAACAAAAATTTGCGAGAAATAAAAAATAAGAATGTGAAATTTTCAATTTTTTTTTAGTTTTCTTGCTATTAACTGTGTTTAAATTTATTTCGAAAATCGAATAAAATTAAGCAGGAAATGCAAAAGAAGGATTTAAAGAAGTTATAAGTAATATTTAGACCAAAAAAATTAAATTATTACTAGAATTAATCAATCGTAATAAAGTGAAGCGATAACAAAAACTACAAGTAGCTCGCTTTAGCTGAAGAGTATTTATTTGCTTGTTATTTTAGATTCATTGGTTATTGAATAGCATTGCTGTTAAATTAAAACAAAAGGTTTGCATGCTTGTTTAATTCACATGAAAACTAAGTTTTCTAAGTTTTACTAATGACAAATTTTGATGACAATAACAATCCAGCAATGTGTAAGTAATCACATTCAAATAATTGAATGGCACCCAAATTTTCAGGCAAGGTTGTGCTGATTGTTTACAACTACATCAGATTATATGGATGTTTCCAAGAATAATGCTTTGTTTAAAATACTGTGTAATTTTACATTGGTGTGAAGATTTTTGTATAAATACTCTTCCGAAATAATGATCAATAACTAGGCAAAGCGTAGGAGGTATTCGTTACTATGGAATCCCCATAGTTACAATGGATATAAGAAATGAATAGACAAAAGCCAGATTAGGCTAGCTGCTCAATTTCTTAGTGCCTGAGAAGAGAACTTTTGGCAGCTGCCCAACGCAACTTTAATGAAATTTCTGAAAGTAGCTTCGCACGCAGCCAACTGACTGCCATTTGCAATATTTGCGACGAGAATACCGACGAGGACGACAATTCAATACCACACTTTCATTTTCACTTCCGCCTTGCTGCACTTCCAGAAGGAAGTACAATAAGTACAATGAGAACGACAACGAATTCGACGCGAAGCGACATTGTTTTTAATAAAGCGACGGCGTCGAGAACCCCAGAGTGTTGCGAAACAACACAACAACAATAACGGATGAGCATCGCGTGTAAAGTGGGGGAGACAGAGACAAATTGGGAAGTGGCTCTTGGGCGGATGGTTGTGGGGATGTAAGAGGGGAGGGGTCATATAGATAGTGAGTGTGCTAGCAAGTCAAATAAAAGCGAGCAACAACTTAATCCCTTTGGCAAAACAATTGCCAAGATGGCAAAACTCTTAAGTTGCTTGTAGATACTTTTAAATTCAAACTAAGAGCAGATTCCCCCAACCCCAATACCAGCCCCATCGCCTTTTCTTTCTCGCTCGCTCACTGGCAAAAGTTTAGACAAATCTAACTTATCTTTTTGTGTGATTTTCTCTTTACAGTTGGAGACTTGAAGCAGCAGGAGGGGAAGTGAAGCTGAACGGTCACGCAATTAGCAATGAACAAAATATTAAGTCAAACTTTAGCTGCATAAAGACACACAACGGGAAAAATCGAAAGTGGAGACGTCTGAGGAAATGTTTGCCTAAGTGGCACACTTCCGCTCAAGCTTGCCATGAATTGAGCAAAAAGTAAACATCAACAACAGCAAGAGCAGGAGCAGGAGCAAGAGCAGGAGCCGACTCATAACGAGGCGGCCAAAACAATATCTTAGCCATGGCCAATCTTACGGCAATAAATGTCTGGTTATCCACAACCACACAGATGCCGCTGCCGCTGCCTAACGTAACAATGCAGCCGTATTTCAATTGGTCCTCCACCACCAGCACCAGCACCACCACCACAGCCCCCTCAACAACAGGAACAGGCACAGTGCCACTCACAACAACAACAACTACCAATGTAGCAGCTACAACGGCGACAAGTATAGAGAGCGAATCGGACAAGCTAATCAACAACGAGCTCGTGCAAATCTTCTTCTGCGTGCTATACGCCACAGTCTTTGTCCTTGGAGTATTTGGAAATGTCCTTGTTTGTTATGTTGTGATACGGAATAAGGCGATGCAAACGGTGACGAATATATTTATCACAAACCTGGCATTATCGGACATATTGCTCTGTGTGCTGGCCGTGCCATTCACTCCACTCTATACGTTCATGGGCCGTTGGGCCTTTGGCCGTACATTGTGCCATTTGGTTTCATATGCCCAGGGCTGCAGCATTTACATCTCCACCCTGACGCTGACCTCGATAGCGATTGATCGGTACTTCTTCATCATATACCCATTTCATCAGCGCATGAAACTGTCCACCTGCATTGGCATTATAGTGGGTATTTGGGTGATCAGCGCATTCGCCACCTTACCCTACGGCATGTATGTGAAGGTCGTCACCGAGGTGGACAACAGCACAGAGATCATCGGAGCGAGCAATGAGACGGTAATAATAGGAGCAGCTGCGGCAAACACCAGCTACGAGTCGACCTTTATAGAAGCTCCCGATACCACATCGGCGGCTCAGGCCTATCTGCAGGTGATGACAGGCGGCTTGGGCGTGACGCTGCCCCCAGACTTGGCCATTACGCGCACCTACTGTGAGGAGAACTGGCCCTCGGAGCAGTATCGCAAGGTATTTGGTGCTATTACCACCATGCTGCAGTTTGTGGTGCCGTTCGTCATCATTTCCATATGCTATGTCCTCATATCGGTGAAGCTGAATGCACGCGCTAAGGCTAAGCCAGGCTCGAAATCTTCGCGGCGCGAGGAAGCGGATCGAGATCGGAAGAAGCGCACGAATCGCATGTTAATCGCCATGGTCGCTGTCTTTGGACTTTCGTGGCTGCCCATCAACATGGTGAACATCATCGATGACTTCTATGTGAAGAGCAATGAGGGACGCTTCTACATACTCTTCTTCTTCGTGGCTCACTCCATAGCCATGTCCTCGACATGCTACAATCCGTTCCTCTACGCCTGGCTAAATGAAAACTTCCGCAAGGAGTTCAAGCATGTGCTGCCTTGTTTCAATCCCTCCAACAACAATATCATCAACATAACACGTGGCTACAACCGAAGCGATCGAAACACCTGCGGTCCCCGACTGCATCATGGCAATGGCGAAGGCGGAGCTGGTGGCAGCCTGGATGCCGATGATCAGGATGACAATGGCATCACACAAGAGACTTGTCTGCCCAAGGAGAAGCTTTTGATCATACCGCGCGAGCCCACCTATGGCAACGGCACTGGAGCCGTCTCGCCCATTCTGAGTGGGCGTGGCATTAATGCAGCCCTGGTCCATACGCGTCAGGCACCGCAACAGGTGGACATCCTGCTGAACGATCGGGATATGAGGCGTGTGCGACGTCGCACCGATGACGATACCGACTACTCCGGCGATGAGCAGACGGTGGAGGTGCGTTTCCGGGAGACCCCCTTCGTCAGCTCCGACAATACAACAGGCATCAGTCTAGTGGAGGCGGCGACGAGCGAGAACTATGAAACGGAACTGGCTGCCAAATTGGTCGGCCAAGGTGCTGCGACAAGTCGCGGCAGAAGCAACTGAGGAAGGGTAAGTTCCACAAACGAATTATTGCAAAAACTCAGTCATTATTTATCTAAAGTTTAAATAGGTAACTTCATAAATTGGGGTAACACGAAACTATGAAAGAATATTTATTGTGAATATTTAATCTGAATTCATGATTGTTTTCCAAAACTATCAAAAATATTGTGCAAGTTGCAACATTGTAAGTGGGAACTAACGTAGCATAACTCTAGTACAAACATTAGTCAGGTAATCCGGCACCCCTGAGAATGAAACGCAGGCCAAAGCCAGTTCAAGTGTTTACTTTGACTTTAAGCAGGTTGCTTTTGCTTCTTGGAAAAAATGGACAGTTTTTTTTTAATTGTTGCCTCCATAATTCTTCTAAAAAAATGTTGAAAAAGCTTTTAAAACTCATTAAAAAGTGATGCAAAAAGTTTAGTAAATAAATATGACCGCCACAACCTACTTAAAACTTGTAGATATCACAAAACAAATAAAAACTTTAAACTATTATTTACCTATTAACTTTTTAATCTGTACTTATGCTGCGTTTTGAGATAGGGGTGTTTAATTTTTAAAAACACAAAAGATCTAATTTTATTCGAAATGAAATTCTTCTTATTAATTAAACAATTTAATAGTTTGAGTCTCTGGAGCCTAGTTCGACTTGTATAAAATATATTATAAATACAATACTTTGAATACAAGTTGTACAAAATAAATCTATATGAAAAATCTAGGCATCTGGCTTGTCAGTTATGAAGATCTCACGTTAGCAATAAAATGTAATTTCGTTCTTATCTGTTATATCGAAAATATTATTTTCATAGTTTACGTTGTGGAAAATAATTCTCTATAGTGATTTCCGCAATAACTTATTTGTGTAATTTGTCAGATTACAATTCCGAAACAACTGTTCCTTTATTTCCTGATAAGTGCGCTTTACAGAAGAACATTTTAACATTTTGTACTTTAAAAAGAAACCAAGAAGTGCGTTTTTAATAATATATAGATTATACTATATAGATTATCATGCAAAATTTAAAAATGAGAAAAATCGAAAATTTTAGGAATATCCAATTTGAATGTCAACAACTATTTGTTCTAAAATGTATGAGAATTTATATTGGAATCCGAAAAGATTTCTGCTTAAAACAAAATGGCAGTGCAAGCTGTTTCCAGACTTACTCAATACTCTCAAAATATTACTTACCACAGTAGTTAAAAATAACAAGACAAACTGCCGATGTGGAAGAATGTAAGGTCCGCCACTTAGGGTTCGTCCACATGTAAGAGAGTTGTACAGATATTACATAAATTTCTGCCAAGTCAGGCGGTATTGCGTTTGATTTTGTGTGCGTGTGCATGGAAAAATGATTCATGAGGAAATGTGCTGAGCAAATCTTTTTGACAAAGCACAACCATTAGGGGCCAGCAGGTGGAAGAGAAGAGACAGACAAAGATAAATGTAGAAGAATTTTATGGCATTTCAGCATATGTAGTTGTATTCCTTTCTGCAAATGTAGCCATCTCTGTGGCACTGCGCATCTGTGAGTGAAATAGAGTTACAGGCTGAAACAGATTTGCAGGCTGACGCAATGCATTGCGAGAAGGGGGAATAGTGCTGCAATGATGTTTACAACAAAGCCGCAACATATGGCAGCACATTTGGCTCTAAATTTTCTTTTTTTTGCCAAATTTCATTGGCGCTGTGCGCATTTCTTGCGGCCTCCACAGCAGATAAAAGCGAGGTTAGTTTAGTCATAAAAGAATTCATATTTGCAAAGTCCCAATTATATACTCGTACTTGTATATATATTTTTTGCAGCTTTTAAATTTGGAATTTAATTAATTTTTAATACCATTGTTAATTCGTTTGACATTCAAATGACATTTTTATTGTCTTTTTGAGACCTGAATTATTTTCAATGCAATTAGGTATACATGCTTGTATTATTGGATTATATAAATTTTTGAATATCCATTTTTTCAATGCCATTATTTCGAAGACAATCAATTATTGCAGAAGCTTTTGTCAAAACATATCACCTTTTCTTATTTAAGTAAATATTTTGGCATATTTAGGTTTAAAACCAAAAAATTATACGAGTTCTAATAAAAATATACAAAAACATAAAGCATCAAAGCTATTAATCGTAGCCAATGTACTCGAAAAACAAAATTTAATGTTTTCATGTGATTGTTAACGAGTCTACAGTCATTTGGCTTCTCCAGTTAATGAAAAGCAGACAACAATAGTACGCTGGTTTCAAAGGTGAAACGTTTTACGAAGCCATATCAGATATGGCAAGAATATGAAATAATTTTAATTATTTTAAATACAAGTTCGAGAAAGTTGCAATTTTAAATCATTGACTATTGTCAACTCGATTTGGCAAAAACGAATAATCTACAACAACAGATCGATCATTAGCAGGAATAAGAAAATATTTAACAACAATTTAGTATTTACTTAATACGCTACCTTTATCTGGGCAGAATATTTTCATTTTATATTTGATTTAAAGTATAAAAGAAGTTTGAAAATGTTTTAAATTAAGCTTGAAAATATAAGTAAATAGAGTCTACCTTGTCAAGCCAGTACTTCTTAGCCTTACCACTCCACCTTACTTTCAACTCGGTTGCGTGTGCAACAAGGCGTATACTTGATGTTGTACACCAAAGAGAAGAAATGTGTAGTAAATCAGCTGCCACGGACGCGTTGCTGGCATTGCCAAAGTTGCCAAAAGTCTGTGCCGTCATCGCATGTAATCTCAACTGGCTCTGAGCCACATAAGACGAAAATACTGTTTTCCAAGCTGGTAATAAAAAACCGGGAGCACCTTGTGTTCGAAATTACTTTGTAGAAAATTCTTTATAGCAAGCACGTTAATTTGTTCTAAGTTTTCGCCCACGATGGCAAAACTTGAAGGTCAGTTGTTGTTGCTGTTATTGTTGTTGTCTGCTCTGGCTTGACGAATGGATGGATGGCTTATAATGGATTGCGGAAATATGAAAAGAGTGTGCCGACAGTTAAGCGACCCTTGCATTCAGATCGGCCGACAGGTGGTCGCCATTAACAAAGGCAACAATAACAAAAAACCATTATCGGCTGAAGTGGCCAGTCTGTTAAGCTGTTTAGGGAGCAAGGAGAGATGGAATAGGAGGATTGCTAAAACAAAGAAACACGAACGCCATCTTAGAATCACATTAAATTATTTGCGCTAAGGCCAACCGTTTATAATAATTTATGGAAAAAATATAGCATTTTATATTATACTATGAGAGGGATTGGCCATATGCGACGCCAATTTAATGGTCACACTCGAGCAGAAACGGGTCGCCATAAAGTTTATAAATAAACAGCGGAATTTAAAATGAATTTACGATATAAATTCCAACAGGCCTCTCTGTGTAAGGCTAATCCGTGCTGGCCTTGGGCAGAATCAATTTCAATTTCATAAAAATTACCTAAATATGCAGATGCTTTGGAAAAAAAGCGACAGTACAGGGACTTACTTAAGCAAAAATATTTACATGTTTCTACATGAATGGCCGCCAGATAAAAAAGCAGAGGCGCATGTTGTAGATGTTGTTTACCTTTTGGACATGTTTGTGGTTTACTTTGAAGACAGACATATAAAACATTTTTGCTGTTGTTTTGCGTATACACGTATAGCATGGAGCGTTCAGTAAGCGTATCATTAGAGTAAGCGAGAGACATGAGAAATGCCTTTAAGTTATGAATAATTCAGCGTAGTCGTTAGTGGCACGTTGGCTAAAGCAAACAAGCGCCAGGGATGCGGCAATAGAAACGAGCTGCCTAATTAGCCATGCAGGGCACTGGGCCATCAGCATCAACATGATGCCCAGGCTCCATGTCCAAAACCCCAGCTAAACGTTGCCACTACCTATGGGCCGTCGGCACTAAGCTCTCGCTTAAATAAACGACAACACCGACAGACAAACACACTTACGCACATACATACTATATAGCTGCACTCACAAAAAAAGTTTCTAGTTTAGTATTACTTAGAGAAAGAAAAGGTCAGTTGCCGCCCACTTTTTATTTTAATCAATGGTCGATATGAACATACTATAATTATTTGAAGATATTTTCGCTTTTAATATGCTTACATAAATATTTTAAGGCATTCATTCGTAGTGTGAATTAAGGCAGTTGTCCAGGTATGCTTGGTAAGCAGTATGCTACCGAGAAATTGAATTCAAAATATCAAAATACCAAATACGAAATAAAACTTTTGAAAGGTTATAAGAACAGCAACAGATAAATTAATTAATTAATTAATTAATTTTTGTTGGTCTTAGTCACAGGGATCCAATACAATGAGTAACATTAAAACAACATTATATTACATTAAAATTAGGATAATTTTTCAAGTACCCAACATTTATGCCATACGTTCGATCTACATATCATTGCCAATGATTCATTGGATAAGCAATGAAGGCATTGTAGAGTCTTTCCCAAAATATACCAGCATCATTTGTCCGTTAGAGATCGAAGTATATTTTATGGAATTGTTTTTTCTAAGCAGCACACGCACAAGGACGAGTTGCATATTTATTTTAATAATATTTTAAAAAGTATATATATTTATTTTGGTTTGCAAAGCATTGTATTAATAATATTCTGATTATGCTACATATTGTACACTCTCCGTTTACAATCACTTATTAGAAAACCTATTTCAGTTGGTTTTTTTTTGGAGTGTACGGGTATCTGAATGCAAAATAAATCTACATACATACTCGTATATGCGATACTCGTATCTATGAAAACAGCCGGCTTACAGAGCAGGGCTTTAGACTGAATCACGAGTGAACGGTAAGTGATATATTTTATGACCATGTCTGTATGCTCTGTGCAACTAATGCTGCATTATGCATGAGAGCTGAAACTGCGAATGGCAATTGTCATGGTGCACATGACTTGGCAGGAGTTGCAGGGAACGCAACAGCTTTAGCTGCCAGTTGGCACAAGTCCATCTTATCCCGCACTA